GCATAATTCATATCACCTCATCATTCATTAATTATGCCCCCAATGACACACTACATGAAAGGTCCAGAATTGGTGTTCTATGATGTTCTCCCTAATGTTTTTATTGTTACACTAAAGTCTAAAGATATTTGAAAACTGTACTTCAGACAAAAATATTTTTTTCTTAAATATTGCATTCAAGCTTGTATGGATTCAGTCTCACTACAAAGGGAATGTGTTTATTCTGAAAGCACAAATTATAAATGATCAAATAGTTCAGTTTAGATGTGACCCCTAAACTGGGAACAGCCGAAAGTAAAAGAAGAAAAAGAAGATGACAAAAACTGTGAGCTACTATTCTTTTTTTTAAAACTACTATTCAAATAATATTTTTTTAACATTAAGTATATAAGTGATTTTCAAATACAATAGCTCTGTGCAATGTTGTTAAAGTTAAACAAAAGAGAATTGCATGATACTAAGAGAATATTCTGTTGTGAGTTCTGATCCATCTCAAAGCTTATATTATATAATATGAATAGAGTCCTTGCCAAAGTTCCTCTACTGACCCTCCAGTTCATCAAATCCTCCATATCCAGCCTTCATAAAACGTTCCTTCCAATTCTTACAGCTCATAAATCAAATACTGTATATTTTATGACCGTTCTGGTCAGTATTGTAATAAAGACAAGTCAGTGCAGATTTATGCTTCTTTGTAATTTAGATGAGAAGGTTGGTGTAATTTTCACTGTGGGCAGCTGATTTGGAGCATTATGTGGAAGAAATGCCACTGGGATTTTGAAAATGGCTTTGCTGTTTGCTTACACTATTATGTGTGTGGACGTGACTTTGGGAGCTAATCATTAATAGGCTTTAAGTGAATCCTAATGGACCCTTTTCCACAATGCATGAAGGAATTAAAAATGAATGAGGCGATATTACTTTTTATAAAACTCATATATGGGGCTCTTAAAGTCCCAGAGAGGACAGTGCAGCAGAAACAGCAGCTGGAAAATGCTATAACATTTGAAGCCTATGTGTAGAGAAACTATTGCCAAAAATTCCCATTCCCAGCTTATTAATGTGTGTAAATATTTAATCCAATCATTTGTCAGTTCATTTTGTGTCTGCAATTATGATACTTTGATATGAATATCTGCACACAGTTGGTTCTGCATAGCAGGGACCAATCAGATATGTGTAAGGGTTTTAACTCACAAACTCAAATTCAATGAAGAGTTTCGCTGTAATACTTGTTGCTGTAATCTGAAGTGTTGGATACAATCTACAGTGCACTTCATGAATCCATTTATAATAAGAGGTGTACCAATGCTGCTGCTGGCCAAATAAAATGAGGATCCTCTGAAGCTGTAGCTTGGAAGATTTCTTCCTCCGAAGGATCCAAACCTGGATTAAGACACAGCTATAATCTGGTAATATAGCTCACATACACCTATCCTACTAGTGTTGTGACGTTCACGAACGAATCGAGTCTTTTGAACGGCTTATTAATATGAACGATGGGAGCTGAGTTGCATTTGGTCAGGTGCCGTTCTCCTCTGGGAGGATAAATGTATAAATCTACGAGTAGGTATCTGCCGGAACAGTGCCAACCCAACAGCAGACGCTGTCATGGAGGTCCGGGCGAACTCGGAGGAGCCACTTGTTCCTAGGAATAAAGACCCTTTGAAGTGGTGGGAAAGTCTGGTACCTTTGTACCCAAGGCTTAGCCAACTAGTGTCTAATAAGCTTTGTGTTGTGGCCACATCAGCGCCTTTAGAAATAATTTTCTCCAAAACTTACAAATACTCACAGAGAGGAGAAATCCCCTCAAGCATTCCAAAGTGAGAGCACTTGTGTTTCTCAATTCGAATTTACAGAAAGAGAGGCCATAAAGACTGGAACTGTTTTATCATTTTGGAAATAGTAGTAGGTGATTAATTTTGTTTACACTTATTTTAATATTGGGTTTATAGTATTAAAATCTTGTTTATTAGTTTTTCAGTATTGTTAAAAATTTACTTTTTAAAATTTTGCACGAAACTTAATTGAAGCCATCTTTGTTCTTTATTTATAAGTGTTTAGGTTTTGCATTAAATAAGTGAAAGTAGTTTTACACACATAGATTTTATACAAAGGGTAAACAGTGATCTCATGGTCAACTCAGTAATATGGCAGTGGAATATTTATATAAGAATCCATATCAGACTTTAAAATCTTGTCCACGTGTGTCAAATGTAGCAATAAGCAAATATTTTCATCACTTTCTACAATTTCAATTCACTCAAAACTTTTCGATCAATGGACAAAAGCATAGATCGTCCCTGGGTGGGCTTGAACCACCAACCTTTCAGGTAACAGCCGAACGCGCTAATCGATTTGCCACAGAGACAACTATGAATTTATTTAATTTTTTTGTCTGCCTGGTTAGCTCAGTCGGTGGAGCATAAGTCTCTGGAGTTGCTCGAACTGAGAGGTAGGTGACAATAAATGAAAGGTTGCATGTCAGCCTGGCTAGCTCAGTCGGTAGAGCATGAGACTCTTGGGTCGTGGGTTCGAGCCCCACGTTGGGCGCATAATGTTTTCATCACTTTC